CAGCACCTCCTTGCTCATAGTAATGAGCTCGAGTTTGCTTACCTAAGCCAAGAAGAGGCATTTCCACTCCATTGCTTAATGTTATTGTAGGTATAGAATCATTTGATGACGTAGCCTCTGAATCGTAGTCGCTCACATCGTCATAGGATTGACCCGAATCCAAGAGGACTACAATAATTCCATAAGAAGAGCGATGGAGTCCATTCTACAAAACTCAAAAGCCTACCTCTTGTGCAGTTCACATGGGAAGGGAAGGCGCGGACCATTCTGAAAGCGTTAAGTTTTGAATGATATCAGAAGTTAACCCAAGTTCATTTTATTGTAATTAATATTTGGTATGCTACAAATAACTTGAGAAAAACATAAATCATAAGGCACGTTCAAAACAATGCACGCATCGTGAACAAAACGCAGCAACACTAGGTCAGCTGTTTGCAAAATCTGCAAATCGTCAAATCAATCTTTAGTTAAGGAAGAGAGGGATGGCAAAGTAGGCGCTAATAAGTTCTCCTAGCTGGAAGTGCTGATAAAGTTTGTGAATAGTTGTTGGGAACAGGTAGGGAAGAAATAACCGATTGCAATCGTTAAATGACCTTTGAACTAGAGGAACTATGTAATTTTACCCATAACAGCCTAGATCCAATTTCCGTTTCTCAGTTAAGAGAGAGCTGTTGTTTGCCCAGGTCTAAGTTTTTGGTCATAACGTGTATTACAATGAGGAAAAGCAAGTTGTCTCTTCTTCATGGCAACCTTCGCTGACTAACGAGAAACGCTTTAAGGGATTTTCTGCTTACACGCAACAAGTTTGTCTTGTGAGTTAAAGCATTGTTGCTAGGTTACTCTTTATTGCTAAAATTCAAACGACTTTTTCTCATATAAGGAATGTGAGATTTTCCAAAGAGCTAATCCGTATATTTCTTTTGTCTTAACAACGCTAGTTGTGCATTTGCCTGTTGGCAGAGGTCATACTGATTCCTTTTTACGGAATGTTCTTCTTTTTTT